CCGGTGCCCCCCCCCCCCCCCCGTTCCGCCGCCTATGCTCTCAGATGCCAACCTGGAACGTCTAGTGTTCGTGAAGTGCAACCGGCATCTGGCCGGGGACAAGTGATGCGCATCAGTACCACCAGACGTTCCAAGGTTTAGTGTCCAATCAGTGCCCACTGTCTTGGTAGATTTGGTGGGCATTCCGCTTTCTCGGTAGGTTTAGTTGGGTCAGAATGGTCTCAAAAATGTTTGAAATACCCAACATTTTAACGTTTTTTATTTTGCTGTAACGGAGTAACGGACTAAAAGAACTTCCGTTACATTATATACAGAGGAACGGAGGAACGAGTAACGGAAGTCACGTTTTGAGGGAACGGAGGAACGAGTAACGAAGTTACAATTTTGGGGAACGGTGCCCACCTATGCTCGCTTTATTTGACAGCAGCACTCGTGAATCTCACGTCCGCCAGTCCTTGTAAGTCGCGCCGCGTCCCGCGTCCGTAAGTGACGGTGTGACGGCCCGGTCCGACTGTCCCGGTGACAGCGGGTGACACACGCTGTCATCACGTCCCGTCCCTGTCATCACGGGCCGGCCGGTCGAGCCGGCCTCGGGGAGATATCTGTTCGGCGGCCGCAGTCCGGCAGCGATTTCCGACAAATTGAATGAGCCCACTGAACGCCGCCGGCCCATAGTTATCTCGTCATTTTTACGAGCGGGACCGGCGGCGGGCCGATCGGCGGTGGCGGCGGCGGCCCTCCGCCGGCGGACGGAGGGAGCCGTCCGAACTCACGGCGCCGTCCCTCAGAGATGGAAACACTGGCCGTAACTGAGCGCACAGTATAGAACCTCCTCCACACCATCTATCGTAACAAACGGATACGTCCGCGGGTTGGATGCTGGGCGACATGCGACAACAAAGCCTGGGAGCTCTCAGCTCGTCAGTTGAATTAGCCGCTCTCGGAATCATGAGCCCGGCAGGCGGAGAGCGGCGGCTCGCTATATGTTTTCACCCCAGGGGCCTCTGTCCGCACCGTCTGACCTTGTGACGGTGATCGGGGAACGATGGCCGTAAAATCTCACCACACCGCTCCGCCGCGCGGTGATCGGTGACGAGAGGAGAGAGGAGTCTGAGGGAGAGGAGAGAGAGGGAGAGCAGGGGACCGCCTTAGAGCAGTGTATGGGAGAAAACAGCGCGGCGGCAACGTCTGGTGTGGGAGATTATCCACCGCACACAACCCAAAGCCAGGGCAAGGAATGGTTCAGCAACGTTTGTTCTCGTTTACCTCTAGTTTTAATGTCAATTCATCTGATCAACAGCGGAAAACGACCGCAGATTACAATTAACACGCTGGTTATAAGTCACGCTAGGGAAAGAGCGAAAAGGTAAGTGTGTCGGCTCATGAGGCAAAGGAAGTCAACACTCATGCCAGCCCATGAGGTCCTGAGGTTATGATTCATCTACGATTAGCTGCGCGCCAAGTGAGCTCAAAGTGATCACAATAGCCGCGATGGCAGCCAGCCAAGCAATCCCCCGAGTGCAGCGTTTCCGCTCATGGCAATTCCGAATTGGCGGGTCGTTCGAGCGAAGCAGGCCCCTCGCCGGATACCATATTCAACAGACACGACCCTCCACTTCGTGGGAGCGCGCCGACCGGGCTCAGGGCTCGGCGGCCGGCCGTGCCACCGTGCACAGTGCGGTCGGTTGCACAGAGGCCGGCCGGGGACGGTTGGGCACGGTCCGACGGGGACATCCTGCCGCGATGGCCGGAGTGTGTCTAACACCGCGGCGCTGGCCGGCCGGCCTCTCACCGTCCCCGTGTTGGCGTGTTAACACCGTCTGGTGGCCGCCGTACCGTGCCGTGACGCAGCGCTGAGACCGGCCGGCCCGGCACTCGCGGCGCCCGTTACCGATGCAGGAATCCGGCCGTTCGCACGGCGCCGCTCTCGGCTCGACACGGCAGCCCCCGTACCGCCCCCACTAAGGGCGGCGTGTTAACAAGCCGCTTCAAAGATGAGGCGGCCGCCGCCGAGCGGGAACCCCGTCGCCCGTATGTAAGTAGCCACGTCACTCCATGGGTTAGTGCATGACCCAACCGGCACAGGCCGACCGGCCGAAGCGCGACGGCGCGCAGCGACATCATTCGCGGCGCGCCCGCCTAGCCACAGCCGCGCCGGGCTGACCGCAGCCGCGCTGGACTAGCCGCAGACGCTCGGCGCTCGCCGCCGATCGTCGAGCCGGCTGTCGGCGACGACACACACGCCGGAACGACGGCAGGATCGAGGCGTCACGACCGGTCCAACGCGGCCCGCACGCCGGCGGGGGGGGGGCGACACGAGCCATGGTCCTGGTCCTGGGCCTGAGGCAGCCCGCGGGGACAGGACCACGGGCCTGGGGCAGCCGACAGGTAACCGGTCACCGGCGCTCGTAGCTTTGGTGACTGCGATACTCCATCCGACACGAGCCATGGAATGAGTTCAGAAGTCAGTAAAACGACGAAGATTTTCGATTGATTACGGCCAACCGGTAACCTCCTAAACATATGGCTCGGGCGACAGACCAACAGGTAATGTAGCTTAAGTGCCAAGCAGTTCAATCTCGTCATTAAATCGTGAGCAGTAGGTACACAAACAGAAAAAGGTAGCTTCCTTGTATGTTATCCAGCTTTGGCGTTCAACTATGTAATCTAACCTGCGTCCTGCTACTCCTGCATCGCATATTGTCCGCAAGTTGTTCGCAGGCGCAGCCAAAATAGACATGACTACAACATAAGCCGATACACGTCATGTTTATTGTTAGCAGCAACCGGCGCTATATGTTGATGCAATTGATGGGAAAGGCCTGTTAGCCTCCGTCAAACACATAAATAAACGTCCCGTCCTCCGGGGCTTTTTTATCACTCCGTGTTCGATTTACACTAGCCAGCCGTAGCTTTGAATGTTTGTGTGCTCGAGCCATAAAACAGGATGGCCGGGATTTCACTGTTCGGCTCTCATGTAACATTTTGTGATCCACTTCGTAGAAATGGCTGCTGGACATAAAGGGACACCCACATTCGGTCTCAAAAGTAATCACCAGTAGAAATATTACTGATCGAACGCTATTCGCGACATGAAGCCGCCGCCCACCTCCATCTCATACCAGAGGAGCCGGCTGCCTGTCTCCGGGCTGAGCCGCTCAGAGACCGAACTGCACCAGTCGCCCGGAGGCTGAGCTGCGCCAGCCGCCAAAAAAGGTGGACCGAGCTGCGACAGCCGTCCAGAGACCAAACTGCACCAGCTGCCCGGAGGCAGAGCTGCGCCAGCCGCCAAAAAAGGCGGACCGAGCTGCGCCAGCCGCCAAGAGACGGAGCTTCGACAGCCATCCACACACCAAGCTGCGCCAGCCGCCCGGAGCCAGAGCTGCGCCAGACGCTCTGAAAGCGAGCTGCGCCAGCCGCGGCGGGCTGAACTGCGCCAGCCGCGGCGGGCTGAACTGCGCCAGCCGCCCAGAGACGGAGCTGCGCCAGCCGCCGAGAGACGGAGCTGCGCCAGCCGCCAAGAGACGGAGCTGCGCCAGCCGCCAGAGACGGAGCTGCGCCAGCCGCCAGAGACGGAGCTGCGCCAGCCGCCCAGAGACCGCGGCGGGCCGCTCTCGGATCAGGGTGGTCCTGCTCGGTCCGTCACTGGCCGAGATGAGCCGGGCCGGGCCGTTCGGCGGCGTGGAGAGCCCTCGATCACGGGCCGCGTCACGGGCCGGCCGTCTCGAGGAGCGGCTCCGCCTGGCGTGGAGGGCCCGCAACGCCGCTCCGCCGGCCATAGGGCGCAGCTGTCGGTTGGGGGCGCGGGCAGGGTCACTGGCCAGGCAGTCAGGGCGGTGGAGGGGGCCGTACGGCGGCGGGCGGGGCCGCTGGCCAGGCAGTGAGAGCCGCAGAGGGGGCCGTAACCTCCCGTAATGCCGGCCCTGTCAGAAACACGCCAGCTCAGCCGTCAGCGCACTGACGCCAGACCAACTGTGAGTTACTGCTGGAAGAGGTGACGCGAGGAGGTAAAGTGCCCTACAAATAGCGTACCCTGGTTGCAGAACCTCATGCTTGTGTGTTTTAGACCTCGCGTGGGGTAATATATGACGTAACTGAGGTCCTTTGAGGCCATCGAAGTCTTTCATATATAACGCCGTCAAATGAAGTAATCGAGTCGGAAAAGCCACCCACGAACTGTCGGAAGCAGCTGCCAAAGCAAACGATGATAGCCTTTGCAGTATGCACTGCATATTCTATACAGCACGGCCATTCGAGACCAACTTCCTGAACTGTCGGCCCTGACCTGAGCTTGACCTGGGGTCCCAAGTTGACCCTCCTCAAACAGAAGCATCCTATTTGCTACAGCTAGACCTGACAAATACGATGGCACCAAAATCCTTCCTCTTTGAGCATGATTGTTGAAGGTATTTCACAAAAACGGGAGTCCGGGCCGACCTTAGGGTGGTGTGGTCGTGTACACGTGACCTTTGAGGTCACCGGTTGACGCGAGATTTTAAAATCAGTTTATCTTTGCTCAGTCTCGTGCCGACAAACACGCTCGTTCCCTGCGAGGGGTCTAGCTCAATAAGAGGGCAAAGGTGAGGACCTTATCCCCCCCCCCCCCACACTCGACCGGTTCGTTATGAAAAAAGGCGAGGCCTGCCTGACGAAGGCTGAAGTCCTCTGACAGTGTCTTAGACCCCCGAGCACATCTTAGTACATGTCACACCGCACATGCGCGAGCAGCAGTGCTGACTGCTGACATGGGAGAAGGGAGAGGTGTCAGGCCGGAGCAGTAGGCCCCACTTCTGATAATCAAAACACGTCATGTGGCGAGGAGTGTCCCAGCCATTCCGGAGCACCATCTTCTTCAAAGCCATTGAGGCGGTTGAGCTGAGCCCATGGCCAACCACTCTAAATTTAGCACACAAAAAAGCACACACATGTGCACAACACATCAAATGAGATCAATTTCCGTGCATGCCACGTGGGGGAAACGCGGGGCTGCGGTCACCTACCTTGACCTGCGGAAGACGGCGCAGGAGTTCACCAGAGCGCTGCAGAAGAGTGTGATCTCGCCCAGACTCTCTTCACCAGCTGCCCAGACACACCGGTCACTGTGTCTCTGCACGGGCAGTGCGGTCAGCGCGAACTCAGTCCAATCCGTCCCCTGCGCCGCACACGCCACGCTCCGCCGCCCGGCCACTGTTTAAGCCGGGTTCACACCGGTTTTCCGGTCCGGAAAAATTCCGTCTGCCGGGCCGGAACCAAAATGTTGAAATTGTCGCTAGATGTCAAAAAAGTCGCTAGAACCGGAAAACCGGAAAGTCGAGCCGGAAATGTCATAATCATCAACCATCAAGTACGATAAGTAGGTACCAAGCAATCTCGCGAATTATTTTGAAATCGAACATATACTTGTGTGACGGCTTTACAAGTCCCTGATGCAGTTCCACCCAACCGAAAATCATCCATACTTCACTGGTGATAGGTATATTAGCAAGATTAATACAATTTAACATTTACAGCATGCGGGCTGGGTATCGACAAAAAGACACTAATAAATTTCAATCGCGCTTTGGCTGTTGTTGGTTTAAAAACACTTGCGAACAAAGAGGAATTGAGGGCTGGGCAGGGCGCATTAGAGACGGCGAGCTTGATATTACGCTTGCTGATGTAGATGGCTGGGTCTCAAAATCGGTCATCTGACTGTCACTGAACTCTACTGCCATAACCCGCGCCCCGCTGGGGGTCCTAAATTTTCACGCCTTGCTGGTGGGGGTGTTTAACATCCCCCCTTTTAACTCGGCTCCTGGGCCACGTAGCGATACGGGGAAGGCGGCGTTCGAAAGAGTGTCAAAATTAATGACGAAATTAATTCGGTCACTTTTTTTGGTCAGCTCAAAGGTCAGGCCACCAGAGGTAATGGAAAGCCGAATTTCACCAATTTTCAGGTCGAATGTCGACGACTTACAACAAGCCAACGCATAACTTGGCATCAATTTTCTCCCATTGACTTATAATGGGGGGGGGGGTCACAAAATTGACCTGACCTTAGGTCACCGATATCAAAATTCCGAGATAGTTATTTATTAAAATTGTGTACATATTGTTGCCCTTATCAATCGCTGAGAGTTTCAAAGAGGTCGGTCGCTCGATGTAGCATATGGAAGACGTTGAAACTTTGTATGAGGTGAGGTCACTTGAAGTGACCTGGTGACCTGACCTTAAGTGAGGTTGGTCTACAATTTTTACATGTGCAGAAAAGATGCATGATAAGGTGTGCCAAAAACAGCCGCCGTTTTTGATATGTTCGCGAAAAACCACAGGGAGGGTTCAAATATCCCCCCCCCCCACCCCCAGCAGGGCGCGGGATAATATCCTTGGCATTCAGTACCATCGTATTTCCTGAATCTTCTACTTGCGATTGAATGGCAAAACTGCCTCCACCCTCCCGAGCTGCTATGTGCTTGTGTAGGAGGGCATCGAGGGCAGAGAAGTGTTGTCAGCGCGTCTTGTAGAATGTAGATTTCAGAATCTGCTCGGCTGGCTCCACTTCGTAGACGACGGAAGTTAGCAATACGTACATTGTGCTACCTGTCCTGCGGCCGGCTCCAGCGCTTGATAATCTCTTCTGCAGATACTGGCTCCGCTCCTTCTACAACCAGCGCGTCCGCAATGTTGTTCCACAAATTCGCCCTTTTCACCGCTTCCTTATAATATTTATCTTTTTTATTATAAAGTCATGGATATTTTTCAACCAATGAAATTAATTTATAATTTGAAAAGGCCATGAGTCATGTGAAATACAAAAAACAGAAATGTAGCTATCACTCCGTTTGAGATGCAAATGTTTTGAAATAAAAATGAAACGCCGTCAAATTTACGCTTGAATTTTATATTCTCGTGAAAAATCGCGAGACTATTAGGGCACCGTTGGTTAAATTAGGCCTGTAGCGCTGAAACATAACATTATTTCCCTCGTGCCTTAATTTCATATCACAAACGGTGGCTATCCGGCAAGGCAAAAGTTGAGATGATTTCAACTTTTTGCCGGACCGGAAAATCTGGCTCTCCGGCCTGCCGGACCGGTCAAAAGAAGTTGCCAGATTTGCCGGTTCACACCAGTTTTCAATTTTCCGGCACGGAATTGGCCATTTTTCCGGCCCGGCAGACGGAATTTTGCCGGTCCGGAATCCGGTGTGAACCCGGCATTACTGAGAGGCGCCGTCAGCTGATCCGGTGCCAGGCCCCCCGATACTAGCGCCGCCGCGCGGGAGAACGGCGAACTACCGACAGCCAACGATTTGAGAGGCGGGAGCGCGGGCGGCGCCTGAACTTTCTGAAATTGCGACGGCTCGTCCACTTCTGGTGACGCGAGCGACGTGGATGGCGACGTAAGGATGGATTGGCGTCATACGTACTACGTAGCATGTATATATTGAATCGCGAAAACGTGTATCAATCCTACTAGGCGAGAATCGAGATTTTCACAGTTCACTACATGGGATGCAGTCAGTCAGTAGTCACGCCCCCCACCCCCCCACCCCCGGGACCGCGTCCCCGCGCACTTACAGCCAACAGGGGAGGGGTCGGATGATACCCCTCCCTCGGTTTTTGGTGGTGCCGATCGTGCGGCCGATCGCGACGAAACTTCCAGAACCCTCGAGTTAATCAATGTACCCCAGGTAAACTAAGGCCTGTTTGATGTTTTCCAAGACCATGGGAATCGCGATTCGGCGTATGGCAGCCGGGCAGCGCACATTATCCATGCTGGTTTCGTGTTGATACCTTTAGCGGTTTAGAAGATATTGCAGAAAACGAGAGCGGAGCTCTGTAGAGCCCCCCCCCCCCCCCCCAGCTATATGCGGGTTAAGCCCCCACCCCAACTCGGAGCCTGAGGGAGCACTAAAGAAGAAAATGTCTTTATAGAGTGCTGTGCACCGTATAACGGCATTCAAATGAGTTTCTTTAAAATTTGTGAATTCTAACGCGCTACACAGTACCAGTAGCCGTTTTCACGACAGGTACCTATTCTGGCGAAAACATCAAAATTAACCGAAGCTGACCAAATCGCAATATCATAAGACAATGCGCAGAAACTATTGTAGGTAAGTTGGGTAAGGTTGCCTATTAGCAACCCTTTTCTATTTGCGACCCGGTCTTCCTAGAGGAAAAAAAACTGATAAGAGAAATCGGGGAGAAAATGGTGTCAAAAGGACTGCCATGGGGAAGCCGGGGGAAGCCCGGCATAGTAAGCTCATGTTCATTGTTATGACATACCTTGCTGATGCATAAAATTTTGCTATCCTGTTAGCTAGATAAGTTAATTGGCCGTGTTGTCCCAAAAAATTGGTTTTGTGGAAATAGTACTAAGTTGCGAAATTCGAGTTTTAAAAAGCATTGATTTTTCTGGGGTAAGCCCGGCATAGGGATAACGCCGGCCACCTCGATCTCCAGCGCTTTACAACGAGTTGATGAAACCATTATGTGCCCTTCCAAATATTGACGGAAAGTGAAATATTAAGGTACCTACCTACTGTTCAGCTCTGGACATCTTAGAGTTTATGACACTTCCGGTATTTCAGCTAGCGTCTATCACATATAGAGCACAGGTCGATGAAATCGTGATGCAAAATTGACAAAAAATGTGTATTTCAAAATTCCTTAATTTTTCTATTTACCTAAATGCATCATACTGCATAGGGGAGAGCGGGGCCAGTTGAACCACTTTTTATATGTTGACATGCACAGCGAGATCTAGTTGTCATATCGAAAAATGCACAATGCCATGAAAAAATATGCTCTTTTGGCTTTATTTTAAGATATGTAAAATTATGTTTCAAACATATTTTGCTGCCAAACGCATGCTTATAAAACAGCTCTACGCCCGTTTCAAATTACCCCGATGCGAGGGTCAATTGAACCAGCCCATGGGGTCAATTGCACCTATCATTAACAATGGGATGTTTTCCTCTTTAAGGCAACTTTCTTAAGGAGATATTTTGTCCGGTTTACTTTTCCAAATGCTACATTCAATAGGTCGTTGGAAAGCTAAAAGTGCAAAGTTCCTCATAATAGGTGACATAAAGTACATAGACTATGGTAAAATGGGCGGATGAGGAAAATGATAAATATCTCAGGCTATAGTGTGCTTTCAAGCAAAAGGCTGGAGAAAAAGGGGTCAAAAATTGAGCTCTATTAAACTACTATTTCAGTTTAAAAGCTCATTTCAAAGGTGGACTATTTCCTTTAATGTTTACAGCCCCTGAACAATAACCAATGCAAAGGTCACCGGGGTCCATTGAAACGGATTGTGGCCCTGTTTCAACTGACCCTCAGAGAAGCGTTTCAATTGACCCCATCCGCTCCCGCCATCTCGCACGCGCCGTAAAGCACATGTCAAACGAGCTGGAGGGACGGCATCATGCTGAATGAAGGGCCAAATAAGGTGTCATTCCGGAGCCAGGAGTTCTTCTTTCAGCAAACAAAGGTATATGAGATATCACAAAATATTCATAAAAACGATTTCTCCCAAACGCCCCTCAAAAACACAAAAACAAGTGTCAAATAAAAATTACCGTCCGTTTGCCGCCCAAACGCCGTTGTCAAAGGAAGTGGTCGAGCGCGGATGCGCAGTGGTGTCGGCAACGCCATATGTTGCATACTGTTGAAAATAAAGCCATGTTTCATCTGACCCCGTGTTTCAACTGGCCCCGCTCGCTCTCCCCTATCATTCGACTCGGCTGATGAAGAAGAACACAACGACACCATTTTTGAAGCTCTAGCTTTATTGCCTGTCGCGTTATCTGCAAAAACGTAGTTTGAACCTAGCCCGCGCCCCACTGGGGTCTGTGTATAACACGCCCTACTGGGGGGGGGGGGCTATTCATAGCCCCCCCCCCCTCCTAACTCCGAAACTATATGGGCCGATCGTCAAAATTCAAACGGTGTCTGATAGCCCCGGAAAAACTGTCGAGCGAAACCTAATTTCATTGACCTCGAGGTCACCGATGACGTCACAGGTCAGGTCAAAGTAAAAATTATTAGCATTTTGGCTTGTTCACATTTTGGGCTCTGGCCGCCGTCTTACAAGTCAGATCAGGCTCATTTTTGGTTTCCACACTCGTGAACAGATTCTCTAGATACCTTGAGGGTACGAAACTTGTACTTTGATTTTCAGGTCAGGGTCAGGTCATCACAGG